ACCCCTGATTGTATGTATGTATGCTCATAGTATTAATACTCAATAGAGTATTAATAATCTTCTTTGGTAGTTTGTCCCTGCAAAATATATGATCTTGCAATACCTTTTTAGAGCAATTTAAATACCTAGTTTCTCAAATAAATTTCAGAATATGATGAATGATGATTTGGGAGGAGAGGATTCGAGCTGCTGAAAAGGTCAAGCAGTGCCCTGTCCTCCTAAGTTGTTGAGCATTTTTTTCTGAATGAGAAAATTTAATACTGGTGTGGGTGCCCAACTGCATCAAACTACAGTGCACAGAATATATTACTTAGCTTCAAGGCTTCAGATTTTTGGTGGGTTTTTTTTTTCTTCATTTTTTTTCTTCAAACTCTGTGAAGGAGAATGAATAGAAACATGGCCCTGTAGAAATTTTATGGTAGTAGAATGTTTATTTTATGAACAATATGCCCATGTTCAGCAGTGAACTGTAATCTATCACTTACTGCCAACTGAGTATGAAAACAATGTAATTCAGAAACATAGTTTTTTTCCAGAGTGGCATGTGTGATTCATGAAACTTTTTGAGGTATGTGGAAGAATATATACAGCATATATTATAATACTATACCAGAATCTATTTATTCTTCACCAGTCTCCTTTGATAAATGTCCTAATGTGTTTCCATTCCCTTTATTAATTAAGGAATGCACATATTGAAAAATTAATGAAAAGAATTCAGTTAATTTTCTTTCACTCTGAGATAAACAATTCTGGTTTGACTCTTAATATTGCAATCTTTTAAATCAAAAGCTATATACCAAAGGAAAAAATCAGGAATTTGCTCACTGGTGGGTTGCTACCGCATGCGCAGAAGTGAACTGGTAGCAAAGGTAAGTGAAACCCACCCCTGATTTTGCTAAAGGAAAACATTATGTACTTTAAAAAACAATGGTTGCACACCATTCTCCAGCTCAGCAGAAAGCGTCAGTCATGCTGGGGAAACATGCCTCGTCTAGCGTATGACCGAGTCTTGCTTAATAAAGTCTCCGCCCTTCCGGTTGCCCCAGTTCTTCGGCTCGGTCTACGCTGACAAGGACGTGTCTTCCAGCTACTGATCGTCTTAGCTGCTTCAATTTCTCAGGTTGGAGTTTTTTTGGCTTAATAGCAGGCTCGTCCCTCACTGTGGCTTCGTGCCGATCAGCTGGAGCCTTTCCTGGGCGCGGAAAAATTTGCTGCGTTTAAAATGTCTTTGCCTAGCAGCAATCAGATCAGCTGGAGCGGCTGCTCGCCGATACCACATCGCTCGTGGCCGGATGGCTAGCGACTACCGGCTCCCTTACATCTGAGGGCTCGGCGCCTTAGTTATTGCCGGATTCCCCGAGGGACCCTCCAAGAAGCGCTTCTTTCACCTCTGAGCACCTGCGCGGTTTTGGGGTTGCTTCAGGACAACTAGCGACCCCCACTCGCAAATTTCTGCTGCGGTTTGCCTCCCCGACTGATTGCGGAGCCTCAGAGAACCGCGCCTGCCCCTTTTAACCAATTTCGGGAGTCCGTCGGATCGCCTTCAAAATGGCGGACGCCATGCGCTCGAGTGCGAGTGAGCGCGAATTCTCCTCATCCCGCCGCCATCACGACAGCGATCCCCTAGAAGGGCCTTCTCATGAGCCTCCCCCCTCCAAAAAGTCAAGATCACGCAAAGGGAAATCTGCTGAACCTGCAGCAACCTCTTCGAAGGAGGATCAGAGGAGGCACAAGGCGCTTGAAAAAGCCTTTCAAAAGGCCCATTCTCAGGCCTCTGTTCGAGACCATGACAGGCCCGTTTCTACACCTGGTTCTAGGGCCAGGTCGCCACGCTCGGTGCGGGACCTCTCTCCTGATGTCCCTGGCCCTCCAGCGGGCGCTCCTCCTTCAGATTCTCACCACCTATTTCAGACTTTTCCTGAGGCAGATCCAGAAGTTCAGGCTCCCCCCATTATTCCGCCTTCGCTGCCACCCCAGCTATCCACTCCTATGGCGGATTGCTTAGAGGCTTTCATCACTCGGGCCATTCGCCAAGGCTTGGCTGAATGTTGGCAGCAGGCCCCTCCTCCTCCCAGCCACTCTATTCCATCTTTGCCTCAACACAGTCCCAGGGAGGAATCCATTCTGGAACAGGGTCACACAGATTATCATGACCACACGGACCAAGTTTCAGTTTCCGAAGCGGATGACGGTCAAGACCAGGCTTGGTCCGACGATGAAGGGTTGGGGCCTGATCCACCTTCGTTTGTGGGCCTTTTTAAGCCCCAGATGTTCCGTTCCCTTCTCTTCAAAGCAATCGCGACAACTCAATTGGGGACTCCTGCCGCTTCAGTTCCAGTTTCTGATCCACATGATCTGGCATCTGCCATGTTCGCGGAACCGACGGTGGACCCAGAGACCATTCCAGCCCCGAAGTTATTTACAATGCCAGTGGAATCTTCCGGGTGCGGGACCCAGTCCTAACGGTCTAGACAAGCGCCTCTATAACTCGGCGGCTCCCTTGGCGGACATTTTACAGCCTCCTAAAGTGGATGTTCCGATCGTGGCCTTAGCAGACCCGGTCCACCCTACCAGTCCGGCTGAGGATTCCCTTCGCCCGGAGGACAAAAGGGCAGAGAAGATGCTGATCAAGACTCACCAAGCCTCTGCTTGGGCCATCCGGGCCTCCACCTCAGCATCCTTCTTTAACAGGGCGGCCCTTCTTTGGCTCAAGCAACTTCAGGCTCGCCTGCCTTTGTCGGATTCCCGGTCACATCAGGACCTGAACAAAATCACGGCTGCATTGGAATATTCGGCGGATGCCACGCTTAATTCGGCTAGATTTTCGGCCAGGGCCTTGGGGTCCAACGTAACATCACGTCGCCTTCTATGGTTGAGGAATTGGCAGGCCGACATGCGCAGCAAGTGGCAACTCGCTTCGTCGCCTTACTCAGCGGGGAACCTGTTTGGACCGGCCTTGGATCCCCTTCTGGTCGAAACCAGGAATCACCGTAAAATTCTGCCTCCAGCTTCTCGCAGAGGGGACCCTCGCTATTCTTCGTCATCTAGGTTCCAGTCCTTTCGGGGTTCCGGCTCTTCTTCTTCCCAAGCATGTTATCAACGTCCCTTCTCTTCCAGACCTCAACAGGACTTCCAGGTTAGACCAGGCTCCAGGTTTCCACCTCGTCGCTCCACCAAGGGAGGGAGGGGAGGCCGTTTTCCCCATAGGTCTAGATAGACAGGCTTCTCAGGTTCCCATTGGGGGTCGCCTCTCATTGTTTCTAGCTCAATGGGAGGCGTCTATTTCCGATTCCTGGGTTCTTGATTCTCTTTCCTCAGGTCTTTCCCTAGAGTTTTCTTCATCCCCTCCATCCCGATTTATCCCCTGCCCAGTTTCCCGAGATAGAACTAAGAGGGCCCTTGTGGCAGCTGCTATTGATCATCTCCTTGAAATTGCAGCTATTGAGCGGGTTCCCCAGTCACAACAAGGTCATGGTTTTTACTCCCGGCTCTTTGTCATCCAGAAGTCCTCGGGGGGTTGGCGGCCCATTTTGGACCTGAAAGCCTTGAACCGACACATTAGGTATCATCGGTTCAAGATGCAATCCCTCTTCTCTATTTTGGAATCTGTCTGTCCATCTGATTTTCTGTTATCAATTGATTTAACGGAGGCTTACCTCCATGTCCCCATTTTGCCCACTCACCGTAGATACCTCCGTTTCGCCTTTAGAGGCTCCCATTTCCAATATAGGGCTCTACCCTTCGGGCTGTCCTCAGCCCCTCGGGTTTTTACTAAAATAATGGCCACTTTGATAGGCCACATTCGTTCCACACCTCTGCGGCTCCAGTTTTATTTAGATGACATTTTGATCCTTTCCTCCTCCCTTTCGGAAGCAAGGGCAGATCTAACCACTGTCCTGAACGCCTTGCAAGCACATGGGTTCTCTATTAATTGGTCTAAGAGCCACCTTTCCCCATCCACTACTATTGTTCATTTGGGGGCCTGAATTGATACGGTCTCCTCCATGGTGTCTCTCTCCACGGAACGCCAACCAACCTTCGTTCCCTTGCTCTCAAGTGTTTAGCCTCTGGCTCGGCATCCATATTAACTCTTTCTCGTTTATTGGGCATGATGGTATCATCTTTTGGCATTACTCCATGGTCCCGTTTACACAGCAGGGACCTTCAATGGCTACTGCTCCCATTTCAAAGGTCGTTGCAGGACACATCCCCTCGCCGCATCCGACTTCCTCGCCAGGTGCTCGACTCTCTTCGTTGGTGGACCTCGAATGCCTTATCTCATGGCTGTTCTTTTCGGGAACCCCGACAGATTCAGTTAACCACGGATGCCAGCCTATCGGGCTGGGGAGCACACCTCCTACATCACATGACACAAGGTCGCTGGTCGGGGACAGAATCCCGTCTCAGCATAAACTTATTGGAACTCAGAGCTATCCGCTTAGCTCTGCTCCACTTCCAGGACCTCCTGGAGGGGAAAGACGTTCTCGTCTTAACAGACAATACAACCGCAAAGGCTCATGTGAACAAGTTGGGGGGTACGCACTCCCGAGCTTTGATGGCCAAGGCTTGCCTTCTGGGTCTTTGGGCCGAGACTCACCTGTCCTCGATCCGAGCAGATCACATTTCTGGCACAGCGAATTCCAAAGCAGACTTTCTCAGCCGGTCGCAGGTGGATCAAGGAGAATGGTCGATTCCTTCCTCTCTGTTTCAAGAGATCTCGGACAGGTACGGGACCCCCCTCGTAGACTTGTTCGCTTCCAGGACAAACCACCAGCTACCCCGTTATTTTTCGAGGTTTCTGGACCTTCAGGCGGAGGCTACGGATGGTCTTCACAGCCAGTGGCCTCCAGGCCTTCTTTACGCTTTTCCTCCTCTACCGGTAATTCCCAAATTAATCCAGAAGCTTCTCCAAGAACAAGCTCAACTGATCTTGATTGCCCCATTTTGGCCGATGCGTCCATGGTTCGCGGACTTGATGACTCTATCTGTCTCGCCTCCATGGGAGATTCCTCCCTCCAAGGTCCAATTGTTCCATAGACTCTCTTCCATCCGGATCCGGCCTGGCTTCGCTTAACCATCTGGAGGTTGAGCGGGGCATCCTGACCATGGCTAAGGTGCCACCACCGATAATCACAATGATTCAAGCCGCCTGTCGACCCTCTACGGTTCACATATACGAGGCCACCTGGCGGGCCTTTTCTTCCTGGTGCAAATCTGTCTTTGTTTCTCCCACATCGGCTTCCATCCTTCATGTACTATCCTTCCTTCAAAGGGGCCTCGACAAGGGTCTGACTCCCAATACTCTACGGCATCAGGTCGCCGCCATCACATCGGTCCTCACCTGCGGATCAAAGGATTCCATTTCCCAGCATCCCATTATCAGAAACTTCCTACGAGGCGCCACTAACCTACGGCCTCCTCCCATCCATCGGTTTCCTTCCTGGAACCTAAACAAGGTCCTTACCGCACTGATGTCTCCGCCTTTCGAGCCTCTTCGTTCTGTTTCCCTTCGTTTTCTCTCCCTGAAAGTCTCATTCCTGGTAGCGATTACCTCCGCTCGCCGATTTCAGAGCTAGCGGCGCTTTCCATCCGTGCGGATCTCTGTATTTTTCATACCGATAAAGTGATTCTTCGCCTGGATCCAGCTTTCTTACCCAAAATTAATTCCTCGTTCCATAGAACACAGGAGCTTGTTCTACCTGACTTTTGCCCGCATCCCTCGCATCACCTAGAACGATTGTGGCATACCCTCGATGTTCGCAGGGCTCTAAAGATTTATATTTCCTGAACAGCAACACATCGCAAGTCGGAGGCCCTGTTTGTAGCTTTCCATCCTAACTCCATCGGATCCCGAGTTTCAGCTTCTACCCTGGGCCGTTGGATATGGGCCACTATCGCCTAGGCCTATCGGCATTCAGACTTGGCTCCCCCACGCGGGATCACGGCCCATTCGACCAGGAGTGCGGCGACATCAGCCACCTGGTCGACACAGGCATCTATGGAGGAAGTCTGTAGGGCTGCCACCTGGACTTCTATCAGCCCCTTCATCAGACATTACAGAGTGGACTCCTTCGCTTCGTCCGATGCGGCGTTTGGCAGACGAGTCCTGCAGGCAGTCCACCTTTCCTGAGTTCCACCGGAGCCTTCTTCGCCCTCCCTGGTGACATCTGGCTTTGGTATGTCCCCAGCATGACTGACGCTTTCTGCTGAGCTGGAGAATGGACGTTGGACTTACCTGATACGTCCTTTCTCAGTATATAGAAAGCGTCAGTCAGCCCCACCCTTCGGTCCAGTCCGGTGGTGGTTGGGGGGGGATCGGATATTAATTCTTTCTCATTTCAGGAAGACACGTCCCACGAGTCTGCGCTTTGCCCTCGACGAAGAACTGGGGCAACCGGAAGGATAGAGCCTTTATTAAGCAAGACTCGGTCATACGCTAGACGAGATGACTGACGCTTTCTACATGCTGAGAAAGGACGTATCAGGTAAGTCCAACGTCCATTTTCATTGTTTACATGTTTACTGTTATGCAGTCTTTCTCTTTTTTGTATATTTTTTTTCTGTTGGTTTTATGCTGTAAGCTGCCCAAATTGGAGTCAAATAGCGTCTAAGTAAAATAAATATGTTTTTCTCCCTTAGACTACTTAAGCAATTCAAGAAAATGCTACTCAAGCAATATATTAATATTTTCACCTCAAAAATATTTAATGAGTAGATCCACAGTTTTCTGAACATACATATTTCCAACCCAAAGTCAAAAAACAACAACACCAAAATCCTCACTTACCTGTTAGAGAAATGGTAAATCATCATCTTAAAAACTAAGACTAAAGCTATAGAAATCTTAGTGTTTTCTTGTTCTTACAAAATAAATTTATCTCTAAGGCATGATATACTACAGAATGCTTTAGGCAGGGTTGTCTAATCTTGGCAACTTGAAAACAGGTCTTAAAGTTGCTAAGGTTGGACATTCCTGCTCTACAGTAGTTCTGTGATGCAGGTAAGATAGCACTACTGAAATGCCAACACTCCAGCTGAGCTTAAATACAGTATATTGAAAGTGTATAATTAGGAGTCTGAAGATAATATACCCTTTGTCAGCACTATTAGGGCAGTGGGATGAGCTGGTATTATGATTTGCAAGCATAACTGTTGACATTCCATGTTATAGCACAGTGTGAACCTGTAAACATATGCATCCCTAAAGTTCTAATCTTCAACAAAATAAAAAGGCAACTAGTTGATCCATTTTAATATTATTTCTTTTTAAAGCAATCCTTAGTTCTTTTTTTTTTCTGTTTCCATATACCAACCTGTGTCTTTTGCTCCAATAAAACCATCCCTTACTAACTATAAGAAATAATTGTATATTTTATGTCTGGTTCATCAAAACCAAATGCAAATTTATCAATGTGCCTATTTTCAAGTAATATAAATAGCACACATTTTAATACATACTTCAGCATTTTCTGAATTATACAATATTTTGAAATTTAAACCGTATAGAATAGAATAGAGTTTTTTATTGGCCAAGTGTGATTAGACACACAAGGAATTTGTCTTGGTACATATGCTCTAAGTGTTCATAAAAAGAAAAGATACATTCATCAAGAATCATAAGGTAAACACTTAATGATAGTCATAGGGTACAAATAAGCAATCAGGAAACAATATCAATATAAATCGTAAGTATACAAGCAACAAAATTACAGTCATACAGTCATAAGTGGAAGGAGATGAGTGATAGGAACGATGAGAAGATTAATAGTAATGCAGATTTAGTAAATAGTTTGACAGTGTTGAGGGAATTATTTGTTTAGCAGAGTGATAGCATTTGGAAAAAAACTGTTCTTGTGTCTAGTTGTTCTGGTGTGCAGTGCTCTATAGCATCGTTTTGAGGGTAGGAGTTGAAACAGTTTATGTCCAGGATGTGAAGGGTCTGTAAATATTTTCACAGCCCTCTTTTTGACTCGTGCAGTATACAGGTCCTCAATGGAAGGCAGGTTGGTAGCAATTGTTTTTTCTGCAGTTCTAATTATCCTCTGAAGTCTGTGTCTGTCTTGTTGGGTTGCAGAGCCAAACCAGACAGTTATAGAGGTGAAGATGACAGACTCAATAATTCCTCTATAGAACTGTATCAGCAGCTCCTTGGGCAGTTTACATAAAATATAATTATATATTTTATGTCTGGTTCATCAAAACCAAATGCAAATTTATCATGGTGCCTATTTTCAAATAATATAAATAGCACACATTTTAATACAGCATTTCCTGAATTATACAATATTTTGAAATTTAAAATGTATTTAAAATGGTGAGCAATAAACTGCAATATTAAAAGAAGTATAATAACCACCAGTTAGTAAAGTATAATGTTTTGTTTTTAATGTGTGGAGATTGATAACTTTTCTGCTTTAGAGAATGGAAATTATTTGTATCAATGTCTGTGAAACATCTTACGCTTGGTAGACCCAAGGGAATGCATTTTCCTGCTTTCTGGATCTTTGAACATCAGCAACCAAAGTATTCTTCTGAATTGTCTGGCTAAGTCAGAGAGTTGGCTCTCCTCCTACCTGGCAGATTGATTTCAAAAATGCAACATCTGTTCCATCCTGTGAGCTTTGATTCGGAACTCCTACATCACTCTTATGTCACCAGTGTTTGGAATATACATTGGTCTCCTGTAGTTAATAATCCTATGGCACTGTAGAATTCTTGAATAGTTTCTTAGAAGTAGAGTGAAATTCAATTAATATGAAGGCAACATATTTTCTTAAAAATATCATGGCAGATCCATGCAGAGTTGTTAAGATATGATAGGATACTCCTATTTTCACAATAGTTTAATACATTTTTATTTAATAATATATTAATGTTAAACTTTCCCAATGGCCAAATTGTAATAATAGCACAGCAAAGTTCCTTAATAGTTCTTTGAAGTTTTCCTGGATGCAGTAGAGCATTTGAGCATTTGAATTTTGAGTAGCAAAATTACAGAAACTTCTGGAATAATTTATAATGTTGCCTTCCCAAGCCCTGTGGCATTCCAGATGTTCTCAATCATAATTTAGTCCCTATCATTAGGCTATATTATTTAGAATGAGGAAGTTATAGCCTAAAACATTTGAGGATCAAGAGGTAAAGTAATATAAACAGAAACTGTACTTTGGAAGGAAAGAAACAGAAAGGAAAGGAAGCATAATGTAAAAGAAAAATATATTAATGTGTGTCTGTGACACTCTTTATATTATGATAGGATGGTACAATCTGTTTTCAACAATGTATGATGCCTTGATGCTTAATGGCAGTGATGCTCAAAATATTCATAGATGAAAGTTTGCTATATTGGTATTCAGATGTCAGCTGAAATTGCTTAAAATATTGATAAAAGGACTTTGATTAAAGCAGTGCTGTGATTAAAGGCTGACAGAGTCTAGAAAAGTTCTCCTTGTGAAGAAAGGAGCCACTGATGCAAAAAAAAAAAAAAAAAGAGTGAAAAATAGCTATGTGAACTGATTGAAATGAGAAGAATCAAATATATGGCTATGATCATAAATCCACAGAATCTTTGGAAATATATATGTATGGATTTCTCATACTAGTTATACAATTGTTAAGGGCATTTAATGTAGGGATAATGTCTCTTCATGTATTTTGAAAAAAACAACATACAAGAAAGTAATAGGTATCGAGACATGTAGAACAGATATTTTGGTAACATGCACTAAGTCATATATTTAGACTTTCCTAAACTGAACAGGAAATTCTGAAGAGGCAGGATAATTTCTACATGGATGGATACTCTGCTTTATGGATGCCCTGACTGGAAATAAAAAATGTACTCATGGGGAGTATAGAAATATTGTGACCTGAATACTTATGAATGCATATTGGTCTGCCTGTATAACAGCACATGCAAATATCATAAATTTCAATAAAATTTCTGGCAATTGACAACAGTGTCCAATTAAAGTTAATTGTTAGCATTACAGAATGTTCCTAACATTTTAGACTTTAACAGCAGTCCACCATACTACTGTTTTTTTCTGCTCTGTCTTCCTCTCCATATATCTTGATTATTTCTGAATTAATTTATATAAACACTTAGGAAATGTGTTGTTGTCTACTCTGTGGTTCTTTGGAAATACAGTACATGGTTACTACCCTTCTGAATTCACACACAAAAAATATTTTCTACCTTACATATTGCATATCTGTACCTTGTTGTGTACCCAACTGACAGATAAGCAGACGAGACATGTACAATCACTTTTGAATTCAATAACTCAAATATTTTCATATATTATTATATTATTACAGCAAAAACAATTTCACCAATATTCATCCTTAATACCATGTGATAACCTGCTATAGACCAATTAATCAGTTTTTTAAAATGCCAAAGTGGCTAAAGCAAATTTAGGATAAAACAAAATTAATACTTAGAATCTGCTTCTTTCCAAAGTTTTTCATATCTATGTTCCACTGAATATAATTCTAAAAAGGAAAAAAAAAAGAAAATCATAACTAGATACTGTAACAATAGTAATAATATGAAAGAACCAGCTATATGTGATCCAATATGCCAGATGCTAATGACAGATTGAAAGAAAGGAATGGGAAGCCAAGGCAGATAAGGATATGTTGAATCTCTATTGTTGAGTTAATTATGTCTATGTAATAAAATTAAAAACTTTGAATGCTTTATTTTAATCTTAATTAAAATTGGTGAAAGAACAAAAGATTAAATAGTGTCGGGCCTTACATTGTTAATGTTTATGTTTCTGCAATTATAAAAAATAAATAGAGAAGGGTATGATCCAAATGGATGGACTACACCAGAAATGAGAAAGTCTTTCATGAGGAGTGAAAAATAGAAGCATCACTTTTAAAAAATCAACTTTTTTTGTGGTCCAAGGAGACCACAATAATAAATAAATATTTTATAATAAATAAAAATGCGACTTTTATTTATCTTTTCCAAACCAGTCAAGACCTAATCAAATAGAACAGACTCCAGATTGAGCTCAATCACATTAGTGAAACAATAAGAAAATAGTATAGCTGTTTTATGAAAAGACAGTTTATTCAACCATATGCCAGCCTTTTGGGATAGGCCAGGTCTTAGAACAGACAATGCATCAGAGGTGAGTTTCAGCAGGTTCTGACCTGTTCTGGAGAACTGGTAGCGGAAAATTTGAGTAGTTCGGAGAACTGGTAAATACCACCTCTGACTGGCCCCACCCCCATCTATTCTCTGCCTCCTGAGTCCCAGCTGATCAGGAGGAAATGGGGATTTTGTAGAAATCTTCCCCTGGAGTGGGGAGAGAAAGGATATTTTACAGTATCCTTCCTCTGCCGCACCCACCAATCCACACCCACAGAACCGGTAGTAAAAAATTTTGAATGCAGGACTACTGGAATTCTACAGCATAATCTTCAAAACCTGCTAGAGCTTCCTTCAGCTCTGTCTTATGCAAAACAGAGCCAAGGTAGGGTTACTTTGAGTTTCTTTGTTACACTTTCTCATTTCTCAGGTCTTTTACTTAACAGTTCTTGCACTACATCACATCACTCCACATCATAAGAACGTAATTTAATATTCTGACATTAGAATAGTTTAATTCTGACATCCCATCTGAAAAGCTAGTACCATGATAACATTTCAAATCATTTTTATGACAGTTACTAGGTAACTGTTATAACCGTTATTCAGAAAAATATGCTGAATTATAAATCTGTGCATCATATTCCTTTAAAAATGCATGCCTTAGTTAAGCATGATTATCAATTTTCTTTATTTACATACATGTTACCAATCAGAGATGAATTCTTTTACATCTTCTTTGGCATTGCACTTCTCATCTGTACTGAAAAGAACATAATATTGTATAATAAGTGACATTTTGCTTGTTTGTTACAGTATTCTTTTACTGGCATTAAGAATTCTGGAGGCATTGAAATGTCGCAAACAATCTAACTCTAACGTGTAAATCTTCTTCCCACTTCAGAACAGTTTATTTCATAAACCTTGGAATGTACTTAACTATTGCAAATTATTTGTCTAATGTACAATTTGTTGCTGTTCTTGCTTGCCTGCATCAACTATCACTTTTGCAGTGTTTTGTCTGTAAATTCTACATTTTAAATGTGGGACCGGGTGTAAGCAACTTGGGAATGAGTAGATGTCATACCTTATAGTGTGATTTCCTATCTTCCTATGCAGTTTCTTATTGGTCTTTTCTTCCACAGCTATATCCTTGGCAGTACGACTCATAGCAAATAACAGAAGTTGTTCACTTGATATCACATGCTAATTTTGGAAGCAGAACCTGAAATTCATTTCCTCAGATGGGCTGTAAGGTCTTCTGTTTTTCTGCTGCCAATAATTTATTTAGCTTACTATTATTTTGATCCAGAAATATTTTAATTATATTAATAAATATGTTTTACTAAGACAAAGCCAGATGGATGACTTGGGCCAATCACTTTCTCTCATCCCTAGGAAGGAGGCAATGGCAAACCACTTCTGAAAAAAATTACCAGGTAAACTTCAGGGATTAATTCAGATAAAAAAAAATTACCTGAAGGCATAGAACAATGCAAAACACCCCTGGTATAGAGAATGATTTCTATTATGAATTGTGTGCTTTATTTAGCTACTCTGTCACAGGCCTCTATATTTTTCAGTGACAATGTATATTCCTATTCCTCAAAGATGTCTGATCCTGAACGTATGAAAAGAAATTTTAATCTATGAAAGTGGAAAAAAAGTTTAATAAAGCAGTATTTAGGAGGAATGCTCCCTCATTAGTGTAACTATAACACCACAGATACCTCATTTAATTGGTATTTATTATGATTGGCAGCTATATACTGTAAATGTACTTTATTTCTGTTTCTTTAGGATACATATTTCTGTTTCAACACTGATTCATCAGGAGTCAGACAATTATGTGTCTCTATCTGTGTGTGTTATAAATTCAACTAAAACAATCTGTTGATAAAATTATTATCCTCACTCCTAGAATAATCAGTTTCAAAGCATCCAATTTTCATGTGATATTGTTTCAAAGAGTTAATCCTTTTATATGCTTGGCAATGAATCTTATTTCTACTGAAGGATTATATTGTTCTATACTTGACTAGCCATAATTCTGCAGTTTGAAATTATGACTGAGAGTCCTTGTTTGGCTACTTTTAAGTTTAATGTTATTAATTTCAAAAGATGCATGACAGAAATATAGCAAAGCCATATTTGATTTGACTGAGATTTATACTAACTGTTATAATCTCACAAGACAAATAATAGAACCCATATGTTCCAAACAGACTGAAGATTGCTAATTATGTGGGCCTACTTGTTTTGATATTTATTACACCTTAATTTTTCTCTATGTAATCATACTTTAAAACTACAAGCTATTGTAAGGGCTCTCAAGTAGCATGTAATATATTTTATAAATAAAGTGAGCTACACTATTTGCAAGTGATGCTTGTGAAGTAAACGAATAGCCCATTTCATATGAAAGACTGGTTATCTTAGATATCTTATATTGCCTTGCTAATTTGCTAATTTGAATTTCCTTCATTGTATTAAATATATTGAGTTGAATCTAGAATTAATTACATTCAGAGCTTTTTCAGTGAACAGCACAAGTTAGGAATGACTTAGTAGGCTAGTTTGGTTAAATATGTATGCTGCTTCAAAATAAATGGAATATTTTTAAATCAATGCCTTGGTCAAAGTAACTTTTTACAAAGGAATAGGCAATCTAGGTGCTGGGAATACAATTCATAGAAATTAGTTTATGGCTTTGCAGCCCTACGGTGTTTTATTCTTAAAAATAATGATTGTTGTTTATTATGGTCTAAATAAATAATACAGCAAATGGAAAAGTGTGAAGACCACATAAATTATCTAAAACATGTTACTCAGTCAAAGCCTAAAATCAAACTAAACATTGATTATCAACGCTTCCTTGAGAGAAGGTTGCTTTCCCGCCACCTTGAAAGAGGCGGTGGTGAGGCCCCTCCTCAAGAAGCCCTCCCTGGACCCAGCTGTTTTAGCAAATTATTGTCCTGTCTCCAACCTCCGCTTTGTGGCGAAGGTTGTTGAGAATGTGGTGGCACGACAGCTCCCCCAGTACCTGGATGAAGCGGTTTATCTGGATCCGTTCCAGTCAGGCTTCAGACCTAGGTACAGCACGGAAACGGCATTGGTCGCATTGGTGTATGATCTCTGGAGGGCTCGGGACAGGGGTTGTTCCTCTGTCCTGGTCCTATTAGACCTCTCAGTGGCTTTTGATACCATCGACCATGGTATCATGCTGCGCCGGTTGGAGGGGTTAGGGGTGGGGGACACTGTGCTGCGGTGGTTCCTCTCTGACCGGTTGCAGTTTTGTGTTGACGGGGGGGCAGAGGTCGACCTCGAGGCGCCTTGTATGTGGGATGCCACAGGGGTCTCTCGCCCCTTCTGTTCAACTTTGATCTGTCCCCGTCCACACACACACACAAACAAACACAGCCAGCCGAGGGTTAAGAAAGTACTTGGCACGCACACAGGTCGTTATCTCAAACTTGGCAGCAATATAATCACCGTCTGCCAAGAGCTTTTACTGCAACAGATAACACAAAATTACATCCGCATTGCAAATAGTCCAGCAAAACAATATTCCTTTCGGCAGCTTCAGACGTTGTTCAAGTGACTAGCCAAAGTTCGTTTTTGTTCATCACAGAGTTTTACTAGCCACCACCCTCTCTTATATAGTCTCTGGGGTGTGGTCCAGTGACTCAGTTCTAATCCCTACACGCCTCCTTAACTGCTGCAACCATTTATCATGCCTTCGTTGGCGTGCATCCAGGAATGACGGCTCTCCTTCGCTCTCATCCGAGACACCTGGCTCCTGGCTAATCTCCTCTTCCTTGGCTGGCACCTGAGACAGTGCCAGAGGGGAGGGGCCTGGAGAGGGAGGCCTGGCTGACTCCTCCTCCTCATGTTTGGAGCTTTCTTCCTCCGATGAAATAGGTTCAGAGGGCGGGGCCACAACACACATTTATGTGAAGCCGCTGGGTGAGATCATCCGTGGTTTCGGGGTGAAGTACCATCAGTACGCTGATGACACTCAGCTGTACATCTCCACCCTGGACCACCCCAATGATGCCCTTGACATGATGTCCCGGTGTCTGGAGGCCGTGCGGATCTGGATAGGGAGAAACAGGCTCAAGCTCAACCCATCCAAGACCGAGTGGCTGTGGCTCCCGGTGTCCCGATATAGTCAGTTAGTGCCATCTCTGACTATTGGGGGCGAGTCGCTGGCCCCCACAGAGAGGGCTCGCAACTAAGGATGCACGGCTGTCCTTAGAAAAACATGTGACGGCCGTGGCCAGGGGGACTTTCTATCAGGTTCGCCTGATTCGCCAGTTGCGTCCCTTTCTGGATCGGGACTCCTTGTGCATGGTCACTCATGCCCTCGTCACTTCCTTCCTCGACTACTGCAACGCTCTCTACATGGGGCTCCCCTTGAAGACCACCCAGAGGCTCCAACTGGTCCAGAATGCGGCCGCGCGGGTGATTATGGGAGCGTCATGGCGCTCCCATATAACACCTCTCCTGTGTGAGCTGCACTGGTTCCTGGTGGTCCTCCTGGTGTGATTCAAGGTGTTGGTGACCACCTTTAGAGCGCTCCATGGCTTAAGAACTGGATATCTACGAGACCGCCTTCGGCCGCCGAGAGCCTCCCACTGGCCAGTACGCTCCCACAGAGAGGGGCTCCTCTGGGTGCCGTCAGCCAAACAATGTTGACTGTGGCCCCCAGGGGGAGAGCTTTCTCTGTGAGAGCACCTGCCCTCTGGAACGAGCTCCCCCTGGAGGTACGGACTATTCCGGATCTACGTACTTTCCATCAGGCCCTCAAAACTTTTTTATTTCATCAAGCCGGGCTGGTCTAACTTTCCAATGATGTAATTTTAATTTGAATTTTAAATGGGGGATTTTAACTGTCAGGCCAAATTGTTTAATACATTTTAAATTGTTTTTAAATTTTGTATTCTATGTTTTTTACCTATGGCTGTTCACCGCCCTAAGTCCTTCGGGAGAAGGGCGGTATATAAATTTAAATATTAAATTAAATTAAATTAAATTAATTGCCATGAAATATTCTTCAAACACTATAAATTGTTTGACTTTTAATTAAAAAAATATTTTAGAAAATGACATGTGAGACAGGAAGTTTTGCAGATAGCAAAGAAATTGTGGAAGTGCACTGAGATCCACCAACATTACCATATGCCATCTATTTCACTTTCAGTGTAAGAAGACTATTGCTATATCTAGCCATTAGTCCAGGGGTGAAATCCAGCAGGTTCTGACAGGTTCTGGAGAACCAGTAGCGGAAATTTTGAGCAGTTCGGAGAACCAGTAGCAGAAATTTTGAGTAGTTTGGTAAACTGACAAATACCACCTCTGGCTGGCCCCAGAGTGGGGTGGAAATGGAGATTTTGTAGTATTCTTCTCCTGCCACACCCACAAAGCCACACCACGCCCACCAAGCCACTCCCACAGAACCTATAGTAAAAAAAATTGGATTTCACCACTGCATTAGTCATTCTATTTTAGTCCACTGTTTTCCCACAACATAACAACATGATGTGACCCACACCTGACCCATTCCAAGACCCTTCCCAAGACTCTCACCTGACAAGACCCAATGCAGCCATTACAAGCAGAAGAACACCAACACTTACATTCCCTAAATTCTGTTGAAGATGTTACCAAGCCTGGTAATATAACATTTGGAAACCAAGCCACAAGTTCAGAGAACGAATCTCTACCCTCATGTAATAACATTTTACTTAAAAAGTAGAATTTCAGTTGCATACCTGATTCTTCTTGGTAGTAAACCTAAACTGGTTAGTATGTGGTTGGAAGACCACTAGGGAATCTTAAGATTGAAAACTAAATTAGAAGATTATGGGGGGAAGAAATCCAAAAAGACAGTGGCATCCATATTATTGCCATGAAAATTGCATGCATGTATCTACGTAGTCACTGAGAATCAAGCTTAGCTCAAATAAAGCTACAAGTTTATCTTTCCATCATGTCATGTTAGTTTATGGACATGTTATTTTGGAAGCTGAAAATTGCATATCCATATTCAAGAATTTTTATTTGAACCTCTTTTAAAAGCATTTCTGGTCCTGACCATTCCATATCTTACAGCGGAAAATTCAATAATATTTAATTACATTCCTTTAATTTCAATTAATTGTTAAAAGGATTAATTTTCTATTTCTGATGGTTTAAAGAAGGTTTAACATAATAGGAAAAGAATCATATTATCTTCTTCTCTAAATGAAGAGGGGAATTGCCTGTTCAAGTGACAAAGCTAAACAAAGGAAATGCCTATCACATTTTGTATTACATGTGCCCAGGAGCAATGTCTATCCTGATTTTTTTTTTTTCAGATTTCTTTTCTTTTTCTTTCCTTTCTTTTTCTTTTTTGGCCTTCAATGCTATGCCAGCATGATCTTTGCCCAAAAGCTATGTGCAAATGATTTGAGGTGTTATAAAGTTGTAAACCTACATATTTGAATGTGCTGACATTTCTTAAACCATTTCAAGCAAGGTACATAGCTTTTGGCTATTGTAACTGACAATGGAATAATTACCCACAACTAAATTCATTTAGTGATCCAAGAACTTGGTTTGAACTTTCTACTTGTAAAACATCACTTCAAAATATATATTACCAACTTCCAGCCTTTTTAAATATGAGTGGATAAATGGGATTTTGTATTTTAATTGTCAAATTGTCCAGAATTAACTTTGTTCAAAAAACTCAGATTTCAAACCCTTTGTAGGTACCCACATATAGAATTAAACCCAGCTTTTTAATATATTTTTTTTCAGAATAACAGAGTTGGAAGGGACTTTGGAAATCTTCTAGTCTAACCCCTTCTCAAGCAGGAGATCCTATACCATTTCAGCAGGAGACCCTATACTCTATACATTCAGCCCAGTCTCTTTTAAAAATCCTCCAGTAATAAAACAGCTACAACTTCTGAAGACATGCAATTCCACTGGTTTATTGTTCTCAGTATATCCATTGGTTGTAGGTTACTTCTTTCCTTAATTAGTTTCTATCCATTGGTTCTTCCTGCCTTCTGGTGCTTTGGAAAATACGTTGACCCCCTCTTCTTTATGGCAGCCCCCTGAATATTGGAATACTGTTGTTCCAATGCTAGATGTTGCATCTAGTTCTTGTTTTCACTGGACTAGACAAACTCAATTCCTGCAACCGTTCTTCGTATGTTTTAACTTCCAGCTCTCTAAATTCCATTATTTAAAAGAATTGCCATTAATATTATTGCATTAAAATTCATTAATTCTGATTTTATGTTAACAGCATATATCCCATTGAATAATGTTTTTATAACTACTAAATAGTTATAAAATAGAAAATCATCCACGTCTTTTTGATCAATGATTTTATTACTAATTGCATAGTTTACTCCTTTAAATAAGAGCAAAAAATTCCCACACTTGCTTGATATGGGCGGCTATCTGCTATGGGTCTCTTTTTATTCAGTGTCATATAAAGAAAGAACATTTTGCAAGATTTGCAATTTATTTGTCTCTTTAATTTTTGAATGTGAATGAAGATGGGAGGATTAAAGAGAGAAAATGTTACAATATTTTATTTTCTCTAAAGCAATTTTTAAAAAACTATATAA